TCATCATAAAATCTATAATAATTTTATATATCAAAAGCAAATATACATGATGATATTTGCATTCAAAGAAAAGAAATAAGAAAAAATTAATCACCATTAACAAATTTACCAAAACAAATCTACAAATTTTCCAAAGCAAATTTATTCTTTCACCAAAAATAAAAGTAATGTGGCTCTATATGAGCAAGCCCAGAACTTTTTAAAATACAATTTTATGAGACAAAGCTTACATTTCTAAAGATCTTCCAAAATATTCCTATCGCTCCCTCAAATGCAGAGACTGCCTCATTTCCTATAAATTGGTTTTCTAATTCCATTTAAGAATAACAAATTCATTAAAACTTTAAAGACTTAATCTCGAGTTATGGCTTGATGAGATCTCTGTGGGATGAAAAAAAATCAAGAAATCACAATAACTGCTATTTTAAAATGTTCTTAACAATGGAAACATAATTTGTTGATGAGAATGCACTACCATAAAGAAAACAGAATTTAAAAAAACACATATAAAATATCAGTTTAAAACCTAAGGTGGGTTTCTGAAAAGTTAAAGTTTTTATTGTTTGTTTTTTTAAACAAACATCAAGCCAAATACTGTTTAATTAGGTTGATTCTATAGTTCAGATATGAGTCATACTTTTAAAAGAGAAAATACTTGCTATAAATGTAAAAGTACTTGCTATAAATATAAAATATCACCTGTCATATAAATCTTTTCTTGACCCATATATGGGCCAAAATTATTTGAGTTTATAAAATCTAATTTATATTTCATAAATCACATGATTAAACATTATGTCACCTTTGCTGTCAGCTTCCTTCTTGAAGTTTCTATTTCCTATCATGTTTTCTTCCTCTATGCAAAAGGATATGTTTTATAGCAAAAACGTTGACTGAGTATACTGTTAAATACTGTCCATTTACCTAAACAACTTAAAAGAATACTGAAATATTTTGAATAGCCACAATTTTTATAACAGCAGAAAAAGAGACTCCAAAATGTAAATGGAAATCAACAAAACTGGGCAAATTACGATTACTTCTTTTATTTATTTTACCATGTAGTGTAATTCTACTTCATGACTTTTTAAAGGGATGGGCATGTGAAATCAAATATTTAAATTATAAAAAAAAATTCTGAAGATCTTTAGGTGATAGATTTTTCATGATTGATTACTCTTTTAATGTTCTGGTTCAAGGTAAGAAACTAAGTTATATAGAAATATAAAAGCATGCACTTCACTTAAAATATCTAGATTTGGGCTTAACCAATTATGTTGCTCCTTCCAGAGAGGGTCTCATTTGAAAAATGAAGGAGTAATATTGATGACCTCCAAGATTTGTGGCCACTGAGCCATTCAGAGATTCTACAAACACCTTTCCTTCCTTGATTGTGAATGTTACCCTTTGTCTGCAATACCTCCTGAGTCAAAACATACATCATTTTGTAGTTAATCATTTGTATTAGTGTCTATTCAAAATAAAGCAAAATGTTGAACATGAATAAGCCATGTAATTCATATGGATGTACTCATAGTCTGGATACAGCAAATTAAGTAGCATCAACATGTAGACAAATATTCTGGTGTGCCTGACTACTACAGCCTTTTCACACATAAATAATGACTCAAATAACGACTATAAGAACACTCTTTTCTCATTAGAAAGTGTACAAATGGCAATGTCCTAAAGGCTTTTTCATGGTTCAATGACCTCATCCAACTTTCCAGTTCAGGGCCTCCAACATTTCATTTTCGAAGAGCTACAGCCCACACTATCTAACGGGCTCACTAACCCTATGCTGCCTATAGGTCTTCAGTAATGCTATAGGGTGGTCATTTCTGAAGTCCAAAGGCCTCCTTAGCCTATGCCTTCTTCTACAAATTACCTCTTCTACTCTTTCCTATCTCTAATTATAAAATAATGATCACAATAATAATACCAATGGTTTAAAAAAAAATACCTTCGCCCTTTGACAGAAGACATCCAGTCCTTCACACTATTTGACATTACTCTGTGCTGTGTTGCAAAGAAGGCAGGAAAAAAGTCAACTGAATCTAGTTCTAGTCTCAATTTTGTCAAAACCTAGTTGTGTAACCTTAGATAAATTACAAACTTGCAATGGCTCCAGGATTTCTCATCTATAAAGACGAGATTTTTCTGCACAAAAAATATCCAGTGTGCACCATGGCCCTGAAACTGTGTGATGTGAGGTCATATCCCGTCACTTCCCATGTTTTCATTCTGTGTTAATGTCATTCTAAATCTGAGCCCTTTATCATGATAATTTCAGGATCCCCAAACTATTTATAAAGCTTCAATACTATACATATCAGAACTTGGTTAGCTAAGAAAAAGGAGGAGAGATAATCAATGTGTCACCCCTGAAATCAGAAATACAACCGTGGCCTTTCCCATCAAACACTTGCTTTAGATTCACTTCCTAAGCCTCACTCCCCTAGAAAGTCTGGTCAATGGAACATGTGTCTCAGTGACAGAAATTTAGAGTGGAAATTCTTTATCAGAACAAATTATTCCACTTCACCACTTTACCATGTGCGAGTTACTTTGTTAGTTCACAATGATACAGCTTAGGAAGGCTAGTGGTTTCAAGAATAATTCAAATATTAAATGAATACAGCATCAAAGTGATTATAAAAGAGGTTCAAACAGTTTTTCTTTTTGGTGTTCAGCAACTTCCTCCCAATCCAGCTAAAGATTCCTCTCTGAAACTGATATGTGGAGGGTGCTATCTCTCTATAAATAGGCTTATTCCATGCTATGTGAATCATGCTTGCTGACAGCAAATCAACAGATTAATTATTTGGCTTTTGTTAGTAAAGATAATAGCACACTATCATCTTCCCAAAAAGCTTTTCCACACACCACACACCCATTCTTCTAAACTAAGCTTCAGAACAAACTGAAATGGTATACAAATACACACAGGTTGCCCTTGTATTGGGAATGTCTTAACAGGTCCTGCCATCTCTCTGCCAGATTGTTATTGTGACACTTTAGCTAAAGGAAGTCACCAGTCAGGATCCTCTCTGATGAGATGAACACTATGTACAAGAAAGGCAAATTAAATGAACACTGAAGAAAACAATAAACTCAAAATTGCCTCAAATCTCTGCTATCTAATGAGATTCTAAGGAAAAGACTACAGGAAGCAGCAAAGACAGTCATTCCTTCCTTTGCAAAATTAAGCCATGCAAAAGTAATCCACTGCTCATCTCCAAATCAACTCCAAAGGATTGGCTTATCTTATTTATTCATATATATCCACCTATCATTCTTATTAACTTGCTTTTTTAGCAGAAGAGGCTGAGTAGGATCAACTCAAAGACGTCATAAAATTATCCCAACTAGAGTGTAAGCCCGTACTTCAGAGACTGAGATATAAAAGTCACATTGAGTTCAGAACCTTGAAGCTCTCTGTAGACCACATAAGGCCCCGAAATTATCCCTTTGCACAGAAAAGGTTATTATATTTTCCATTAGATGAATTACTTTGTAGAGTTAAATCAAACTACTGCATAAATCTTCACTTTATAAAATGAACATGCTATACTAATTGAATATAAAATAATAGAGACTGGTAGCTCCCGTCTCAGGATCATAATTATTTTTGTATACTCCTGAAATCTACTTCATCATCATCACAAAATAAGAAAATGACCCTAGTATGGAGCGGACAATGTCATGAAAACCCAACGGAAAACGAAACACGGTGGCTTCTTCACAAGGCTTAATCCCAAATTTCTGAGCTGATTCTGAGCCCCACTTGTCCAGACGTACCAAGTGTCTTCCTTAATCCAACAGACCCAACCATGTACCTCATGGCTGGAAACTAAAAGCACACCATAGTCAGAGTTGCAAAGAGGCAAACTAGCCAACTCATTACAGAACAGGCTCCCTTTCTAGACAGTATTTCCTTTCACTTGACCACAATAGGGGTGGAGTATCTGCAGAATGCAAATGGCTCAGCAGCCACAACCCAGAGGACCAAGAGTCTGATGGAAGCACAGATCTCTCCGAAATTCTGCTTTCATTCTCTCAAGCTGGGAACACTGGCCTGGCTTGAGCTAGGAATCATCATGTGGAAACTTTGGGTATTCAATTTACCTTTGTAAGTAGAGACATATCAAAAAGCAACCATCTGAGGTCAGGGCTGCAGAAGAGAGTTAGCTTCAAAAAGCCCATGTGGAAAATCTCTGATCAAGCTGAAGTTTTCTTTACATATCCTGAGGCCAAACTGTGAATACTGTCTTGTTCCCTTAATGTCCCAAAAGTGTGAGTATGCTAAGTATGGTAATAGGACAGAAAAGTTAATGAGCAGAGTCCTGGGAAACCATGAGACTGGTTGGAAGAAAATAATAGGAAAACGAAGACTGTGTAAAGGAAGTGGAAGGGCATGAGGGAAAAATGAAGAGGTGAGAAATTGACAAGGGCGTCTGAAAGATACAACACCAAGTGTTGCTGGAGGAAGAGTTGGAAAAATAATAAAATTAAGTTGATCTGGTATCTACTAGGCGTCTATCACGGATTATGGAAGGATAAATGAAGAGCTGCATTAATCTTTAGGTCCTCAGTGGGCAGCATAAGCATTGTACTCTACAGATGAATGGATGCATGGAAGGCTGGATGAAAGAGCAGGAGGGAGAGAGAGAGAGAGGATGAATGAATAAGTGAATGAATGCGGTGGTCACTGCCCTCAAGGACTCTACAGGCTCTTTTGGAATGAGCACATCTATACATGTAATTCTTCTCCTAGTCAAACCCTGGATTGATCAAAGTATAAAGTGTTTTGCTGAATATGGGACAAGAAGCTATTTACTGACAGAGTGGTTGAAACAGACAAGTCTGGAAATGAGAGAAGAGAGGTCAGAATGTAAAAGAGGAATCCTGGTTCCCTTCCACGGGCGTCGCAAGGTGCTTTGAGGAAGGGGAGAAGGGTGTCCGCCTCTGGGGAGCCCACTCTCCGGGCTTCTACTGACCTGGTCTCCGCCTCACCGGCCTCTTGCGGCCGCTGCAGAAGCGCACTTTGCTGAACACCCCGAGGACGTGCCTCTCGCACAGGGAGCGCCCGTCTTTGCTGGGGCTGGAGCGGCGCTTGGAGGCCGACACCCGGTCGCTGTTGGACTCCCTCGCCTGCCGCTTCTGCCGGATCAAGGAGCTGGCTATCGCCGCAGCCATAGCTGCTCAGTGAGGGCCCCAGGCCCCAGGCTCTACTGCGCCCTCGGGATCGCGCTGCGCCGGGGCGAGGGCAGGACCTCGGCGGCCGGGGACAGGGCAGTCGCGGGGAGGCAGTGCTAAAATTTGAGGAGGCTGCAGTACCGAAAACCCGGTGCTCACACGGTTAGTCAAAGTCTGGGCAGTGGCGACAAAATGTGTGAAAATCCAGATGTAAACTTCCCCAACCTCTGGCGGCGGGGGCGGGGCTGGTCCCAGGCCCTCTGGCGAAGTAGACGTTTGCACCCCAAGGCAATCGGCCTCCAAGGGGCAGTGGGGAGTTTAGTCACACTGCGTTCAGAGTACCAAGTGGAAGGGGAAGAACGAGGTCCAAAATAACGAGCTGTGCCTCCGTTGGAGAGGCGCAAGCGTTGCAAGGTGTCCAAAGTATATCTACACATACATCCATATAAAACCCGTTTACAAAGCAGAGTCTGGACTCAGGCGGGTAGCGCGCCCCCGGTAGAAAATACTAAAAAGTGAATAAAACGTTCCTTTAGAAAACAATCCACCAACCGCACGAGAGAAGGAGAAGAAGGCAGCAATTTAACTCCCTGCGGCCCGCGGTTCTGAAGATTAGGAGGTCCGTCCCGGCAGCGTGATGTCTACAGAAAGCATCGCACCGGCTGCGGCTTTCCAGGGGCCGGCCGCCCGAGTTCTGAATTCCGAGAGGCGCGAAGTGGGAGCGGCTGCCTGGAGTCTGGGGAGGGCGCGGGGCGGAGACAGCTGTTTCCAGCTGCGGCGAGCGCGACTCCCGGCCAGCAGCACTGCGAAGAGAGCGGGAGGCCAGCGAGGGGGGAGGGCTCGAGGGAGGGAGATCCTCGAGGGCCAAGCACCCCTCGGGAGAAACCAGCGAGAGGCGATCTGCGGGGTCTCAAGAGTGGGCGCTCTTTCTCTTTCCGCTGGCTTTCCGGCACGAGACGGGCACAGTTGGTGATTATTTAGGGAATCCTAAATCTGGAATGACTCAGTAGTTTAAATAAGCCCCCTCAAAAGGCAGCGATGCCGAAGGTGTCCTCTCCAGCTCGGCGCCCACACGCCTTTAACTGGAGCTCCCCGCCATGGTCCACCCGGGGCCGCCGCACCGAGCCGGTCTCCGCACAGGCTCTGAGGGAGCGAGGGAAGGGAGGGAAGGAAGGGGCGCCCTGGCGGGCTCGGGATCAGGTCATTGCTGCGCTGCCTGTGCCCCCCAGGCTCGCGCGCCCCGGCGGTCGGCAGCTCGCAGGCAGATCAGATGGGGATTACCCGCCGGACGCAAGGCCGATCACTCAGTCCCGCGCCGCCCATCCCGGCCGAGGAAGGAAGTGACCCGCGCGCTGCGAACACCCGCGCGTCCGCTCGGGTGGGGCGGGGGCTGGCTGCAGGCGACGTCGGCTCGCGGCGGCTGCGGCTCGGGCCGGAGCTGCCCACCATGGTCTGGCGCCGAGGGCGCAGGCGGGGCCCCTAGGCCTCCTCGAGCCACCACCGGAGGCAGCCCAGCGCGCAACCCTGGCGCTTGGGGCCGGAGGCGGACTCAGGGGCCGGTGCCAGGAGGCAGGTGCGTGCGGCTGCCAACTCCCCCAACTTGCTGCGCGGGTGGCCGCTTAGAGCCGCGGGCTTGCGGGGCGCCCCCAGCCGCCGCGCCGCTGCCGCCGCCTCCCCAGGCCCGGGAGGGGGCGCTCAGGGCGGAGTCCCATTCATGGGCTGAGGCTCTGGGCGCGCGGAGCCGCCGACACCCCACCGGCTGGCTCAGCTGGAGTGCTAGCTCCGCAGGAAACTCCGGGCTGGGGCGAGAGCCACCGAGATGGCGGGTGGGATGCAGAGCCAGCAGCAGCCAGAGTTCCTCCCGCACCGCCCACCGACCCACGGAAGAGCGGAAGAGCGCCCAGGTGGGGCCCAGCTGGGGGCCGGGCTCCTGGAGCGCAGGGAAGCACAGCGCGCTCCAGGTTCCCTTTCCTCGCGCCCTCCGCTCCCAGACTCCCTTCTTTCCTCCCTCCCTCCTGCCACCCCTCTCTCTCCTCTCTGTGTCTTCTGTCTCTCCCCTTTTTTCCTCTCTACGCAATCCTACGTGATTGAGGTTTGGATGAGAAATTCTCAGAGGCAGAGCAAGGGAACTGCAGCCCGGGTCCTCTCCGTCCCGTCTCTCCCACAAGAGAAACACCACCACAGAGGGGGTTGAAGGACCCCAGGTGCGCAAGGAGGGGTGATGGATGGGGGATGGGGGAGGTGAGAAAATGCAGTCCAACCTCTTTCCAATAAGCTTGAGCACAGAGAATTCTCTGTTTAGTGAGGAAGAAAGTGAATACTGGAGAAAGTAACAATGACCTCTTGGACCTTATGTGGGGCCCCACCTATGGCTCATTTTGGAACAGGAAAAACTGTTTCCCTCCTTGGAACCCAAATTTCTTGGTTCTGACTGTAAACCTGCAAAGCAGGCTCAGTCCCTAAAAAAAAGAGCCCAAATGAGCAACCTGCACAGAGGATGACTCCAGGTAGGGTGAGAGTGTGATGTGGACAAGGACAGTCAACAACAGGCTGTGAAGTGCAATCAGGTCTCCAGACGTGCGTGTGATGGCATCTGATGTTGGAGACACTGGGCAGAGGAGTTCTCCAAGTTAAAATGCAGCATGAAGCATTAATCTCCTTCCATTCTTGATAAGTCTGGGAGTGGCTATTGCTTTCTACTTACAATTTCTATTCAAATATCCCTAATTTCTCTCCTTCAGACACTTCATTAAGCATCTAGGGTAGTGTGGAAGGATTAAATGTGTGATTTCCAAGCAAAGCCAGATATATGTTGGAAACATCCTAATGGAAGGCAAGGAAAATGCAGGCCCTGGAAGCTACTGAAAATGGATATGGGACCCAGAGGAACCCCAGGAGCTCTCTAGGTATGAGCACAAACCTGTGGACCTAGCCAAGATTGATTTGGGTGATGAGAAGGATTGAGATCTGTGATGAAGCTCAGGTCAAGCAGGAGTCTAATACCCTACAATTCCCCGGGGGCCTGGACCTTCCAGGCTCCCAGCTGGGCAAAGCAGAGGCTGGCAGATAGGGCTCATGGTACAAACAGCTGGGAGGAGGATTAAATAGGCAAGACATCCTGGGGAGAGGGAGAATCCCAGCTGTCATTTGGGGAGCACACATCCCCTGCAGCAGTTCAGTGTGGCTGGATGAAGACAGTGGATTTATCCTTGGAATTCTAGCAATATAGAACAAGACACATAAAAAAGACACATGCACCCACACCTTATGTGCAAAAGTAAGGCTGAATACATTTACAGTATGTACATCTGGATGGGGTGAGGGACATTACTTAAGAGTAACTGGTAATTCTATCAATTAGGAAAATTTTCACATTCTACAAATAAAATTATTTTCCTTTCTTGGCTGCCAGAAGACTTGTCTCCTTCTTGAGCAAGGCAGACACAGATAGTACTGTGGGCTTTGGGGGCTCCCTGCCCTTGCAATTAAACACCCAAACAGACAAAGGTCAGCTAAGGGGAGTAACCAGCTAAGGGGAGTAACCAGAGAAAGAGGCAAGAGGGGGTGTATAATGAGGCCTTGAGGAAATTATTGCTAAATTTGGAGTCTCTTTTATATCCTCAAAATGGGGATAATCATTCTCATCTACCTCGCAGAACTGAATATGCATGTGCAAGCATTCCGAAAACTGGAAAATGCCAAATGAATGAATAAAATGATGAGTGGATTTTTTTTTTAAAGAAAATGCATGAGATTCACCTGAAATGCTTGATAACATGCAGATTCCTGATGGTCTCTCAAAAACGCACAGCAGAAGTCTGTATGGGTAGATCCTAGGAATCTGAATTCTTAACAATTTCTCCAGGTGTCAAAGTTTTGGGGGATAATGTATGTTTGCAACACAAACAATGCCAAAAGACAGAAGTAAAATAGGGCACATTTCTCCGAACTGCGGTCCTGTGCACCATCCCAACTCCCCCTACAAAAGGCAAGGAAAGAGGATGTGTATTCTTTAATCTTTGTGTTGCTGATTTTTTTCTGTAGGTTTATAAGGTATGAGGGTGTGCTGATGCAGAAGGTAACCAATACAGAGGCACAGCGGAGAAGGAAGTTATGAGGAAAGATGAAAAAACAGATAACAGTTGCTGTTTGAAGTTCTCTCTGTCTTAACATGACAACATCAAGTTAGGCATTTAAAGAACAGAACAAAAACAATCAATGTCAGCTTTCTGAGTGCAACATTATTTCTGTGTTTAGATCTCTATTAAAAGAATGTAGTGTTTTGGATTCAATCAGACAACAAAGACTACTTTTTTCCTTGCACTCCTGCTGCTATTGTCAGAATGCCTTTTGGCTTTTTAAGTCATCATCAGCATCATTTACCCCATTTCCCCAGTGAAAAGAGGTGAGTATAAAGAAATTTAAGAGGTTAACTAGGACATAAATACATAGATATTGAGCTCAGAAGCAATACTTAAATCAGTTTATTTTATATCTAGAAATTCATAGATTTCCTACCTGAGCCACCAAATCTCATAAGTCTTCCTCCAAAGTTACTTGTACATTTCCAATATCTTTGCATTTTGGGATCAGGAAAGACATTAAGCCAACCTACTGATGATTTAGGTTAAATAAACCACCAGATATTTTAAAGTGTTATATCTCAGGGATACCAATACTTTGATTTTTATGCTCTGTTTGAACAGCTTAAGAATTTTTTCTTCCCATTATGAATTGAAGGAGTGAAATAAGTTTGGTTTTTTTTTGTTTGTTTGTTTTGAGACAGAGTCTCGCCCTGTTGCCCAGGCCTGAGTGCAATGGCATGATCTCGGCTCACCGCAACCTCCGCCTCCAGGATTCAAACAATTCTCCTGCCTCAGCCTCCGAGTAGCTGGCATTACAGGCACCCACCACCACACCCAGCTAATTTTTGTATTTTTAGTAAAGACGGAGTTTCAACATGTTGACCATGCTGGTCTCGAACTCCTGACTTTGTGATCTGCCCGGCTTGGCCTCCCAAAGTGCTGGGATTACAGGTATGAGTCACTGTGCCCAGCCCAAAAGTTTTAATTAAGTTGAAGAAAGTTGTCCAATACACATCACAATGATAATTATGTAATTATATTTCATTATATATATATAGTCTGTGCTTTTGGCCTCTAGCCGAACAAATAAAAACATGGACAATCTTAATTATCTCCATATTTAAAAAGGAAAAACAGAGGCTTTTTGGTCTTTTGCTTA